AGCGAATAAGCCAGACCTGGGCAAAAACCCTTGTCGATCAATTTCAGGGTTTAGGGTTTAGGGTTTAGGGTGCTTAAGAGAGTGTAGGGGTTTGGGCTTGGACCTGAAGGAATTTAGGGGTTAGGGTGGCGAGTTCTGCACCGTTTCGGGTAGACGCAGGGCTGACGCAGGGGTTCAGGAAGTCTCGGCTTTTGGAGCACTCCTGCCTGTAAACGGTAGTTCCCCGAGCCCATGATTCTTAAACCCCTGAAGCATGGAATCCTACCCTAACCCAAAGCCCAGCGCCCTGAACCTCTTCATCCTGCGCCCCCCAAGCCTTCACCAGGACCCCAAGCTTGCAGTGGAACTTTGGAGCCTAATCTCTTAACGCTATACTCCATGATATATCCTGAGATGGAGGTTGGGGACGCGTCCATGTCAGGCCTCAAGTCTAACTTCTAACCTTTTTGGGTTTAGGACTTAGGGTTTAAGGTTTAGGGTTTAGGGTTCAGGGTTTAGGGTTTAGGGTTCAGGGCCCAGCAGCCACACTCCAGTCACCACAGCCAAGGCAAAGAGATTGCGAACGGTCGAAGACCGAACACCGAATGTGTGGAGGCAACGGCTTTAAGGGACCCACGTTGTGACTTTCGGATTCCAGGGTCCTTTGGCTTCACCTCCCGGAAGGTGTGTTCATCAGGGGTCTACGTTAGACCTCAAACCACCTGCCAGAGTGCCGTAACACTTCAGACATTCCCGGTCCCCTGCCGCACTGGGAAGACTAAAACAACTGTCTCCCTAAACCCTTAGGCTTGAAACGCGCGAAACCCTTATTAGTCTTGTTGTGTAGACTGTAGCACAGTATGCTGTAGCATAAGGTGGTAGAGCAGAGCAGAGCAGAGCCGAGCCGAGTCGAGTGGAGCGGAGCCGAGTAGAGTAGAGCAGAGACGAGTGGAGTCGAGTAGAGTCGGGTAGAGTAGAGCAAGGAATAGAGCAGAGTAAAGTAGAGTGGAGGAGAGTCTAGTGAAGTCTTGTCCAATCTAGTCTGCACACTTATTGTACATTATTCTAGAGCCCCCAAATCTTGATCCTCAAGCCCCAGAGCGCTTTTCCCCCTGAACGCTTAAGTCCATAAATCCCTAAACCCCTAAGCCCTTAAACCCCTAAACCCTCAACCCTAAACCAGGGCGGCTGCCCACAAGAGTTGCTCTCTCTCATGCGCCGCTGTTGGAATCCTCAGGCGCAGCGACGGCCGATCCTAAGCTGCAAAGAAACTCAGAAACCCTTTAGGGTTTAGGGTTTATAGGGTTTAGGGTTTATAGGGTTTAGGGTTAATAGGGTTTAGGTTTAATTAGGTTTATAGGGTTAGGGGTTAGGGGTGAGGGTTGAAAGGGGTTTCGGGTACTTTAACGGTTTAGGGCTTAGGTTGTTTCGGGGGTTCCGGGCTTACAAAATTTCAGGATTTCAGTGCTTGTTGCCTGGAGCTTAGGGTGTGAGGGCTCAGAGATGATGGGATGTACCGCCAAGTGCTGGAGAACGTGCGTAGTGCGGCTTAGAGTCAAGCAGGTTCCAAAAGCGCGCTTGCAGAACAAAAACCCTAAACCCTAAACCCCTAAACCCTAAACCCTAAACCTTCTCCGTAGCTCGATTTGACTTAGAGCCTTTGAATGCTTCCGGATTCGGTGCAGGAGGTAGACACGAAACGACGCACGCTGTGATGTTTGTGTAGGCAAATCTAACTCCTCAAGCTTCAAAGCCGGCTAATTGGGCTGGGGATTTAGATTTGAGCTAAGCCTGAGCCTAACCTTTAAACTTACACCTAAACCTAACCCCCCCCCCCAAAAAAAAAAAAAGGCCTCAAACCTTCACCCCAAGGCACCAAACCTTTCCTGCAAGCCTGCTACTAGGACCCAAAGTAAGCCCTTATTCCCTTTTTGTAGGGTTCAGGTTCCCTTATAAGCCCTCTAAACCAAAAAGGGCACCCTTTTTATTCCTAGATTACTCTTGGATCTAGGCTATGACCAGCTTAGGACCATGGCGGAGCTCGCGCAGCAACTCACGGAGGTCATGAAGAGCGCCCCACTGGGGACCTAGGAGCAGAAAAAACCAAGTGGGTTTAGGGTTTAGGGTTTAGGGGACCTAGGCGCACGAAAACTTGGCGGATCCTGCGAATGTGTCCCAACCCGATCATCTGGACGAAGCTCCCTAGTGTGTCATTTGCTTCATGCCTTGCATGTGTTATTCAGAAGTTCGGTTCCCTGCGTCTGCGGCCTCAGGGTTTGTAGGGTTGCAGGCAGGTTTCTTCTCGGCTTAAGACTTACGGGTCAAGTGGTGAGAGCAGTGGTTCACGAAGGGTTCCAACAGTCCGCGATCATGCGGGCTGGTATTCAAAGCTGGCACAGCCTTACCATATAGGCCCCATAGTACGCCAGTTCCTTTTTGGGGTTCATATTCAGAATGCTATAAGGTAATCCCAAAAAGGAACTACTTTGGGGCCTATGGGTTGACCCTAAACCTTCGAAGAAAAGCTCGCCATGCTCAAGCCTGAGCCTGAGACTTGGGCTCCGAGCCTGGTTGGGGAATTCTCCGCCAAGAAGCTCTGATAGGGCCCCGAAAAACCACATAAGCAAAAATTAGGATAGGGATATCCCATATAAACCCCCTTATAATGAAGCTCATTAAGGTAGGGATGTCCCCACAAAATGCTTATGCTTATGTGCTTTGTGGGTCCCTAATGTAAGACCTGGGCCCAAGCTAAACTCAACCCCAGACCGGGCGACGTTACATGGGTAGTTCTCTCCATCAGGGTCTCTTTGTCGGTCCCAAGACTAGCAAGGCACGTATCAGAAGGACCTAAGGCAGCCCACTTGGAGGATCATGAGACTGAGTAAGTAAGGTTATAAGTACCATAATTGGGGTTATAGGTATAGTTACCCTAATAATAACATCAGTTACTAAGTCCCAGGATCCTTGAAGCACACGCTCAGCCAAGCCCACGCGACCGACCTTAGCCCAAGAAGCCTCAACACTCCCTGAAAACCACACCTAAGCCCGAAACCCCCAAACAGAGCCGCCATGGCGTTGACGGGAAGCTACTGGCCCTGTCCTTCCTTTTCGCCCTCGCTTGCCTTGAGGCTGGCGACTGCTACCCTCCCTTACGGAAGCTGGAAACTAGAGCTTGTAATTCGGGTTTGAGAGTTTGTTGTTGGCCGGCATATTCAAGGTTGCTCAACGCACCAACCATGAGACTTCAATACGACATCCCAGACTTCACGCCCTATATGGGGGGGGGGTCGAGTTGGAATGATTGCCAAGATCCAGCCTTAGGGGTAACTCATGCTTGAAGGTTTCACTACAATGTTCGCCCAAACCTTGTTCTATTCATGAACGCCTCAAGACTGCCTACTTAAAGGGTCACATTATTAGGGTAATTATACTTATAACCCCGTCTAGGGTACTTACAACCTTACTAACTAAGTCCCATGATCCTCCAAGTAACCCTCACAGCCCTCCTCCCTCGCAATTTCAGTGTTTGCTCTGCCTTGGATCCTTGGTGATCATTCCACACTTTAAATACCCCTAGACCCTAAGCGAAAACCTAAACTCTAAGCCCACTAAAGCCTAAACCCTAAACCGCTTACCTCAAAGATGCTAGGTCCTGAACTTTCGGATCCCGAATTACCTCCCTGTTTCGGGTTCTTTATTATGGTTTCGTCATGCAAGTCCTTGTCGGCCTAGGGTCGGGTCCGGGTGAACCCTCATCGAACAAGCACAAATGTTGGGGCCTTCATTATTAGAGTAGGGTCATGGGGGTTCCTTTTCAAAAATATAGCATAATAAACGCCCAAACCCTATTCTATTTACCCACAGGCCCCAAAGTAGTTCCTGTTTGGGATTAATAATAGGATTCTAAATATGAACCCCGAAAAGGAACTACTTTAGGGCCTTAGGGTATTAAGGCTCTACGTTACAGTGTAGTGGGAGGCCGGTCCCGTTGCAGAGAACTGAGCGAGAACTCTGCCCTTGGGTGGCCCGCGTAGCGACAGGAGGCAAGGAGGGTAGTTTAGGGTGTAGGGTTTAGGAGGGTTTGTGATTTTGGGGTTTTGGGCTGATGGCTTCTTCGTTTTTCTTGTAGGGTCTTGGAACGGGTGTTCGATTGAAATTTTGAGTCTTGTAAGAGTTCTGCAATAGCTTAGTTTTGTGTTCCTCTTAAGGGCGAAGGGGGTTGGGGGTTTGGACTTAAAAAAGTTCAGAGGGTTGGGGTTTAGTATACATGCAATCGAGAGCTGCAATCTGGATTGCCCTTTCGTGGTGACGGGCCATAGATCGACTAAACTGGGGAGCAGCGAGCAATCGGAGATCCCCTTGTTCAGGAGTCGTAGCTTCCGGGTCTTTGGGGTCTGGGTAGGGTCGGAGGTGCTTGGGCACGGGGAGGGCTGAACCTCATGACAGCCTTCAAGGGTTGTATAGGTTTCTGCATACTTGGGCTCGTAGTGGCTTCAAAGAGTGCATGCTCAGTGAACCCAATACCCCTCAAATGAAGGAGCAGGATAGCTTCAGTCAGATGAGGAAGCCCCCATCACCTAAGGTTTGGCAATTCCGTAGTTGCAGGTATTTCGCTCTCTTGAAAGTCCTGCAGACCCTCAGCCCAACCGAAAACAGGGAGGGTTTGGGGACTAGGGTTTAGGGTTTAGGGGTTTAGGCTTTCGGATGGATGTCCGGAGTATGGTCCGCGCCCAGGGCAGCTAAGGGCCAAGGTGACAAGTAGAACGGGTTCATACCCCGCAATTTCAGTCTATTCGTCCGCCGGCGTGAGAAGCCATGCTTCAGCTCAGCATTCGGCTCTACTTAGGAATTGGAGTCACGAGGGAGCCAGGTTGTCAAAAGCAGAATCCAATCATCCACGAGCTCGGGTCGTGAAGCAGCACTCAGCTTCGGGTAAATAAGGGGTAATTAGGCTCCCGACGCGCTCTCCGGTTGGTTCCGGTGCGGTTGTAGCAAGGATGCTTGCTGCATGGTTTCGCATGGGACCTTCGATACACGTTCGACAGTCTGGCTCCTTCCGTCAAGTCCTAACACTGCAGGCAGCGCAATTTGCGGACGCTTTTGCGAGTCCGCCATCTGTGACCAGTGAAGCATATTCCAATGATCCAGTGTTCAAGCTGCACGGGGCGCAGAAAGGCCGCGTGCTACAAAAAGCGATCTGGAACTCCTTGGCTAAGTCGAGTCCATCCATGCAGTTGTCTGACGCCTGTCCTGGTTCATGTGTAGACGGCCGCAGACGGGCACCTCATCAAGCTGAGTTCGATTTCACTTATGGTGGCCGCAGGGTGGAATGCAAGGGTGCCAGCATGGTGTGGAACCCAACACGACATTCCTGGTACGCTCGATGGCACCGAATCAAGTTCAACCTGGCGTGCTTTGACGAGCTCTTTCTTGCGTTTCATTCCCCCGGACAGGTGGACATCATATTGCACGACGGCCATGCAGGTGTGAGCAGCTGGGGTTCCCGAACAACAGCTCTGGGTCACATGGTTTCTTTTGCGGCTGGCAGAGCCATTGACGACCCAGCGAACGCTCGCCAGCAGATCCTGGCAAAGATGCTACAACCCTCCGGCTTGTGCAAGCATTTCGCGACGCTAAGTTGCACGAGCTTGTCAGAGTTCGTTGCAGACGAACTTGCAAGGGAGAGCTCGTACTTTGCGCTGTCGTGCTATTCGGGCATTCCCTTGGCAGATTTAAGCCACTCTGCACGAGCTTTGCGCCTACAGGAGGTAGCCTTAGTAATCGATAAAATGCTTCATCCCTGTAGCACTTTCAGCCTCGATGATGGCAGCTTCGGGGCCCATGCTGACTGGCTCCGCGACGGCCTCAAGGTCGAGTTCAAGTCTTCAAGGTTGTCCTGGAATAGCACGGCACGTAACTGGAGGTGTCAGTTCCGTCGCATCAAGTTTGCCAGTTCAAGTCCAGATTGTCAAGCCAGACCGGCCGCGTTCGACGAATTGTGGCTTGGACTGTACAGCCCGCGTGGCCTGACTGTTTTCCAATATGGCGGTCGGTTTGGATGTTCTACAGCTGGTGTGGAGACCGATCTTGAGGGCCATTCAATATTTGTCGGCGGGGCACATGGCCAGGAATGTCCGGACACAGCTCTGGATTCAATACTTGGTAAGTTGCAGAGGTCTGGCTGCAAGCTCTTGGCAACAATCGCCTGGTGAAATCGTAGTGTCTGTGCCAAGACGTCGTGACGTTCTCCTGTCCCCCACCCTCATTCGGCAAACCTATAGAATCCTAGCGTGAGAAGTTCGTGGCTTTATGGCATAGACCTGTCCCTTGTTGGAGAACCAACCACTTGCTTCATCCGAGTGCCATGTTTGTCTCTGTGTTGTGCTGCAACCATTCCTTTCGGTTGAGCGACATAGCTCTTTTCAGACAGAGATGTCTTCATGTCGGTCTTGGAATCCCTCCGAACTTTTGAACATCTGAAGATGCTTCTGAGGCCCGGAGACGCTCAAAGCCCAACCCAGCGTAACTCGCAACAATCCTTAAAGGAACCTTCAGAAGAGACCGAAGAAGAACCCTTGAAGGAGGCTTGTAAGGAACCCCTAGAGGACACCTAGACCCTGAAGCCAGAAACCCCTGAACCCGAAATCCTAAACCCTCAACCCCTAAGCCCTAAACCCTCAAACCGAAAGCCTCGAAAGCCAGGGATCGTCGCAGCCTGGCGATTTCGGCCCCGTCGGGCCCGGGGCCGGCTGAGGAGGTCTCGGGCTTAGATCAGGGTTCTCAGAGACTCCAATATCCTTGAATTCAACAATATACCTTAAATTACTGTAGGATCCCTAATATGATTTTAAGGTATATGCCTTATTTAAGGCATATTGGAGTCTCTGGGTTGTCGAAAGGGTGTAAGTCGTCAGGGGGTTAGCGTCTAGGGGTACAGGGATTTCGTCCCAACAGCCTATTCCAATCATTGAGGCCCCGAATGTTTAGGCTGCTAAGCCCGGCAAGCTAGCTGTGAGTCTCGAAGATCACCATGGGGGTTGCAGTCCTTACGCCTGAAGCCCGAAAAGTGCCGAGATCGAGCACTGAGCGCAAGGTTTAGGGTCTCGAGTTCCCTAAACTCAACCTGCAAACCCTAAAGCGACTTCCAGAAAGTTGGATCTTGAATCAAAGCATAATCAGTGTCGAGATTCCCTCTACGTTACACTGACTATGGGACATGGGTAGTTCTCCAAATTAGGGTCCCTTTTTAGATCCCCAAAATAAAACGGCACCCTGATAAGAAGGATCCCCAAAAATAACCCACACATAATTAGCCTGCATTCCTTGAAGGGTTTATGTTTCGGTGTTTTGGGCTGAGGGTTTGGTGGGTTCCAGGGTTTAGGGTTCTATGGTTTAGGGGTTTAGGTTTTACCAGGCCCCTAGTGAACTTACGTTTTTACGGTTCCCTATTCTATAAGTCCTTAAACAGGTTTTAGGTTCCTGAGTAGTACCCTTTTGCCCTTCCTATTTTGGGATCTCCTTGTTCACTATAAAGGGGCCACTCTAGAGGTAGGTTCTTCTCGGGGTAGGGGCTTCGGGGATATTGCTGAGCCTGGCCACTGTGCAGGTTTGGCCTCTCCGGCGTCGCAGGTGCATGGTTCAGAGGGGTCGGGTCTTTGAGGGTCTTGGGTTTTCGGTTTAGGGTTTTGGGGTACAGGGTTTGAGGTTCAGGGATTAGGGTTTGGGTGTTTTGGGTTTGGGGTTTGTCCTTTTATGAAGTGTATGCCTCAAACCTTGAATATGGGGTTTCGTGGATTTTGTACACTGCTTGAGGGACGTTTCTTTCAGAACTTTTGGAGCTTCAGTGTTCGTGCTTAGGATGTGTTCAGCTCTTGAACAGCAGTTCAGGGCTAAAAGAATTGGACATCTCATTGTTGGAGTTTGAAACTCTCACACAGCGGACCAGGCATGCGGATGTTTGTCGCGTATCCGGCCAGGTGAGGAATGGAGCTGTCTACACCCATTGATCAGCGTACCAAGAGTTGATATGAAGGTTCAGAATTCGGGGCCGTGCGTTTCGTCGGTGTACCGTTTAGAGGGTATGGTTTCGTGTCGGAATAAGCATACCTCCGGAGGAGCCTGGGGCAGGTATCAGACACTAGGTAGCGGGGCCTAGGTGCTGGGGCCCAAGCCTTACACCCCAAGCGCTACAACTGAGGAACAGCTTAAACCATAAAATTTGCATCCTGAACCCCAGCAGCCTAAACCCCCTAACTTGTAAGATGTATAAGCCTTCAACCAAACCCTAAACTCTAAGCTCCAAAGCCGAAACCCCCAAGCCCCTAAAGCCTAGCCCGGAAAGATGTTGTCTCCGTTTGAAGCCACCAATTCCTGGATCCTGAACCTGAAACTCTCAGAGTGAACACCAATTTGAGTCTTCTTATTGCTTCCTTGTCCTTTGAATTCATTGATTAATGAGATTCGAGAGTGTTCCCCCTTTTTCAGTGAAGGGTGGATGTCGTAGTTATTGTGGTGCATGCCTTGCGTCTTGCGTAGAGGCGGACCCGTGGACGCAAGAACAAGGGCAGTGCAAATTAAAGAACCGGAAGCCCTCAACCCTAACCCCCCCCCTCCACCAGTAAGAAAAATTAAACCTGAACTTCCCAAACCCACCTAAACCCTAAACACCCTAATCCCTAAAACCCTAAACCCTAATCCCTAAAACCCTAAACCCTAAAACCCTAAAACCCTAACCCCTAAACCCTAACCCCTAAACCCTAAACCCTAAATCCTGAACATCCCAAACCCTAAACCCTAAATCCTGAACATCCCAAACTCTGAACATCCCAAACCCAGAACACCCCCAGGCGCCCACCTTTCCGAGCTTCCCGAGCTCACGAGCTCTGAGCAGCCAGGGGCCCGAGATTTGCTGCAATTTTTAAGGTTTTGTGGCCCTGGATTAGGGTTTAGGGGTTTAGGGTTTAGGGGTTTAGGGTTTAGGGTTTAGGGGTTTAGGGTTTAGGGGTTTAGGGTTTGGGGGTTTAGGGTTAAGGGTTTAGGGTTTAGGGGTGTGTCACAGTGCCACGGCGCCCCCCACCCATGGAGTGGTCGTGGGTCGCGCCGTCTTCGTAACGTGGAACCCACCCACAACCACCCGAAGCAGGACTAGAACGGGTTTTGTGTTCTGCTTCTTCTTATTCGAGTGCTGCACTAGCCGAAAAGACGTTGCAATGTTGCGGAACGTCAAAGGGACATCCGAGTGATGTAGTCACAAAATAGCAGCGACGCCCTCGCTCGTCCTCGCCGACCCCCAGAGTCGTCCGTCAGCCGTCGTCAGAGTCGTCCGTCAGGGCCCAGTGCCAGGCCTCCAGAAGTGGTCTGCAGCCGTCCGCTGTCCGCCAGTCCGGCCAAGAGTGCTGATCATCCAGTCGGCCGCCAGGGTTTTTTCGCCCGGCAGTCCGTGCCAGAATTGTCCAGCTTTGCCGCCAGACTCGCACTCCAAGCTCCTTGCCAGAGTCGGCCACTGTCCCGAGCTCTAGGACGTCCCGTCACTGGGTCCCCGCAGGGTCTGTCCCCGCAAGGGCTCGCTTGGTCAGGGTCGCCGTCCCCGCCAAGATCCTTACGCCGTCCTTGCCAGGGTCGTCCGCCGTCCCCGCCACGATCGCCCGCCGTCCCCGCCAGGGTCGTCCGCCGTCCTCCAGAATCGTCTGCCAAGCTGTTTTTGGCCTTTTTAGTTGCTGTCAAAGCCAAGTGCCCGCCAGAGTGTCCGCCGTCCCCGTTAGGGTTGCCCGCCGTCCCCGCCAGGGTCGTCCGTCTGCCAAACTGTTTTTGGCCTTTTCGTGCCTGTCAAAGTCATCCCCGAGTTGTCCGCCGTCCCCGCAGGTCACCCGCCGTCCCGTCCGCCATCCCCTCCAGAGTCCGCCAGAGTCGTCCGCCATCCGCGCCAGGGTCGCCCGCCGTCCCCGCCAGGGTCGTCCAGAGTCGTCTGCCAAAGCTGTTTTTGGCCTTTTTAGTTGCTGTGAAAGAAGAGTCGTCCGCCGTCCCCGCCAGGGTTGCCCGCCGTCCCCGCCAGGGTCGCGCGCCGTCCCCGCCAAAGTCGTCCGTCCACCAAGTCCCCGCCAGGGTCGTCAGCCGTCTCGCTCGTCAAGCTCTTTCTACCAGGTCCCGTCCCCGCCAGGGTTCTCGCGCTGGGCAGAATTATCTGCCAAGCTGTTGATTGCTTTTTCAGTCCCTGTCAGAGTCGCCAAGTCCCCGCCAGAGTCGTCCGCCAAATTCGTCCACCGTCCCCCTCCAGAGTCGTCTGCCAAGCTGTTTTTGGCCCTTTTGCTGTCACAGCAGAGTCGTCCGCCGTCCCCGCCAGGGTTGCCCGCCGTCCCCGCCAGGGTCGCGCGCCGTCCCTGCCAAAGTCGTGGCCGTCCACCAAGTCCCCGCCAGGGTCGTCAGCCGTCCCCGCCAGAGTCGCCCGCCATACCCGCCAGGGTCGCTCGTCAAGCTCTTGCTACCAGGTCCCGTCCCCGCCAGGGTTCTCGCGCTGGGAGATAAGGGTACCCAATTTTACTATTGTGCCCCATGGCTAGCAGTGCCAAATCAGGTCTGGTAGACTCGATCTGCTTGGCCAAGCAAGCAGATCTCGAAGCGGTAGCGTTCAGTGGTACCGGCCGCCGCCGGGCGCGGGCGGCCAATGGTTTAGGTTTTACTATTCCTCTATGATGGTAGTTATTGCTTTTCTTCTTCTTCTTCTAATTCGCATTTTTTTGCTTTCTCCTTAGAATTATGACTGCTGCCCTTAGTAATAGAAGTACGTTTGCATACGCAGGCCTCACAACTCCAGTCAAGCTACGGGCCTTTTTCACACGCCAAGAGCTACAGTTCGTCACTTAAAGAGCCTAAATTTTACGGTCAAGAGGAGAATGTTCGCACTCCCCCTTTTCAACCTTGTTGAAACACAGCTCCACTATGCTTCAGCACTGTACGCAAAATGTTGGAATCCGCAAGAGACTCCTTAAACAAGTCCTGGGTTGACTCAAGGCTCTGCAGGTTTGGGAAGGCTTGCCGTCTTGCGTCGGCATGCCCTAAGGGCAACAGGACTCAAAACGCAGCCGCTAGCACTTCCTTCTCCTAAGCGGGAGGTCTTCAGAGACCACAACAGGCCTCAAGAGGAAAACAGTTTGACCTCGCCACATCTTTTTCAAGGAAGTCGGGTGAGGGTTGCTCCACACGTCATCCCTCACTC